GGCTATCTGTTCCAGTGCCACGAACTGGATGAAGACTGCCAGTCCGAAGAATGCCACCACGAGCCGTCATCCCATGTTTGACGGGATCTGGACTTGTCCTCGCAACAACAACAACAACGACGAACAAACAAACAAACAAAAAAACGCAAGTAAGGCTGCACTGGTGGTTCTGCCGATTGCTCCTACCTGCCATAGTTTTGTACCCAGAACCAGATCACCAACGCCTGAGCATGCAAAGGTGCCGATTGCCTGAGTAGACTGACATGTAATGTTCGGAATGGGGTTTCTGGCTTAGCCCCTCGCCATATGCCGTCAAAGTGGGACGTCTGCCTTAACCCCTCGCCATGTCGAATCTCTGTAGCAAGAAGTTCGAAGACTAATGGAACCATGTACAGCAAGGATAATAAACGATGTCACGAGCGATGTCGCTGGTACAGTACAAGGTTTAGCATCCCAAACCTCTTCCCGTGGTGTTGCTAGCTTCGTTGGCCAGCGTCAGAACACCATGTGCTGGCCCCCTGCTGAAATTGTCAAAGCCCTCGTTCTCTGGCCACGAATCACACATGTGCAGAGTCAAGTCGCGTCTTCGGACTACCCTTAGTTTAGCTGTCAGGGTGCAGCAACAACAACAACTACTACAACAAGAACAACAATAACAACAACCACATTTCATTCACACGTAGCGGGGGGATGATCGCGACTCTGTGAAACTCTTCCTCGCTTTGCGAGTGTCTAACCTACTGCGGCTCATCTTATGCTTCTCATGAGCACTGCTCTTTGCTATCTATGGAGAGTTGGCAGCTCTCAGTCTAGGGAGTAACTCCTTTTCCTTCAATCTTGTCTCTCGCCCGGTTTGGAATTTATCTCTACCAGAAAGCCCCGCTGCAGGCCGTGCCGAAGCCTTGTACCTGCATTCACCCCGTCCCATAGGACAGCAGGCTACGGTGCTGGATAAGTTGAATCCTTGTAAGATGAAAGTTAAGGCGAGCTGGACAACGGAATGTGAGCCGATGTGGTTCCGCTTCCTGTGTCTGGAGCAGTTGCCAGTCGTCGTTCCTGCTGCCGCCAGAGCCAAATTTGGCGTCTTAGGAAGAGAAACCGTTGTACACCACCAAATGAGGCGGCGCTTGCCAGGGGAGTACCTCCTCCTGGTCACACCAAATTTCACCATGGATTTCCACCCAGAGGAGTAACTTCTTCCGCTGGCATGGTTTTTGCAGGTGTTGGTGGCGTCGGGCCTCCGACTCGCACGGGCCTTGGGATCGGGTTTACCTTTTCCACCTCCTTTACCTTGGGGAGCACCCGAAATAGCCCATTGCAGGCCTTCTTGGATGCTCTCTTGCGTATGCTGTGGTATGAATTCGGGTGCTTGGGCGGTGTCGCCAACCGCAATTTTCGCAAAGCTAAGCCTTGGCAAAGCGATGCTCCTGTCACCCCGCGGACAGGTGAAAACCCTGCTGCCTACCTCCGTCAAGGCTGTGCTAGCATCCTGCGAAAGGCGCGGGAATTGGGACCATGCAGAGCACAGAGGTACTCGGCCGTGGCGCTCCCAATGGCTCAAGCGAGCGGACAGCCCTTACGCTTGGCGAAGGGAGCCTGTTGCGAACCTATAGTATAGGGCGACAACAATAACAAAACACAACCACAACAACCACAACAACAACAACAACAAAACAACAACCACCGCATCCGCATCCGCATCCACATCCACAACCACAACCACAATCACCACCGCGACCGTCACCATGATGAGGAGGATGTCTGTCAACATGCCACACAAGTAGAGCCAGTGAGGAAGAATAGTCACGAAATCACAAACACAAACCATTGCCAGTATGGCATCGGAAACCCGAAGGGAGGCACCACCAGATGCCTTGACAACTACCTGCCGCTGATAGCTTGCCCCAAATCGAAGGATCTGTGCCCTGGCGTGCTTCACAGCGGACGCCTTATGCCAGGTGGGCAGCAGTGAACGGCAAACTTGCTAAAAGCACAGCTGGTGCTTAAAGGAGCCAAATTCAGCTAAATCGCGACTCGAGCGAAGCTTGAAGATCTACGCAACTTCTTCGGCTGTGAGCTCACCAGCCTGATCTTGTCGGTGGTTATTGTCCACCTTGGTCACTTAAGCAGAACGTTTCATCCCTGCCATGGCAGCTCCGACAAGTGGCGGCAATGTTCGTCTAGCACGGTTCCCTCTGCGTGGACGTGTGTAGTGTAGACTGTAGATTTATCCAAACACACGAACAAGCAAGCAAGCAAGCACGCACGCATGCATGCATACTCACATACATACATCTATACATACATACGTACCTACCTGACCTACCTACCTACCTACCTACCTACCTACCTACCTAACTAACCTAACCTACCTACCTACCTACCTACCTACCTACCTACCTACCTACCTACGCATGCACACATCGAGCATGCATACATGGGTGCATATGCAAATGCATACGCGTGACAAATATGCACATACACACACACACACAGAAACACGCAGACACACACGCACCTATGCAGGTTTCCACCATGCTTGGCCCAATGATTTGTTGGGCCCGGTAAAGTGCCCCGCCATCCAGACCCCGCACTCCCCCAGAGAACTGCTGTCGCCCCTTCCTGCAGTTGTCACTGTCACCGAAACTTCTGGCAGAACCTGTATGAATACACGTGCTTATCAGAGGCCATGGACTTTGCCATGCGGCTCTACGAAAAGCTTCTCGTCCTCACCCTGCACGAAGAGTGGCAGAGTGCATCCAATTAGTGTCTTTTTCACTTCACCTCAGGGGCTGATGGTGCCAAGCTTCTACAAATCTACAAGTTGCAGATCACACGGGCCTACAAGCGCCACGATCGGATTTGGCTTGCCCTTGCCCTTGTCCTTGGGATTCTGGGTGGTCTTCGCATCACGGGCATGGTCGTTGGAATCATCGTCCTCTTCCACTTCCTCCCCCATTTCTTCTGCAGACGTGCGCAGCATCTGAACCATAACGTGCAGCGCAAAGTACATGCAGATGCATCCCAACGCTAGAACGAGAGTTCCTGCAACAGCGTAGGTGACCGCGGCCGAGGGGTTGAAGATCAGCAAGACTGCAATCATACTGAACATAACAAAGCGGAAGCTCAAAAGGCACATCTCCATGAAGTCCAGAATCTCAGCCTGATCGTTCGTAAATGGCCGGCACCAAGCCGCAATTGCCAACATAGCGCCAGAGATGAATGGGAAAAGCAATAGCTTGGCCTTTTCATCATCTGCCAAAGATGTGTACGTCACCAAATTCATCAGGGCAATATCGAAGCGCTTGACTATGATATCCCAGTACCAGAAACCAGGTTCGTAACCTTCGATAAAGAAACCGTACCTCCGACCATTCTCAGGATTCTGGCGGTCTTTCAGCTTGTATATACGAAGGAACAAGAGGAGAGGAACGCCAATGCACCACACGACCAGTCCGATTGAAGCGATGAGAGCCAGTTCAAAATGATCGAAGCTCCAGCATACAACATCTGGATGTGGAAGCAAGCGCTGCTTCACTTCTGTAAGGCCTCGGTTGTTATCCTCGGAGAAAGGCGCACACCAAACCATCTTCAGAAATTGAGACAACAGCTCCGGCCACCTTGGTGGCACTGGGCAAACACGAGCATGGAAATTGCATGCAACATCCAACGTGAAACCTTACGCACCCAAGCGACATTGCCAAAAGCATCACCCAAATTACTGGCACACACTGCTGGAGCAGCTGGGAAGGTCTCGGCCGAGACGTGAACAAACCGAAGTCCAAGGTGTCCTCGACAAAGCATGAGATTCCCTCCACAGTTTCACCAACGTCTCACAGCATGTTCCATCAATGCCTGTGACTAAGTTGGTATATTTGCGAACGTGAAATGCTGCGCAAGAACATTTACTCTGGAGATCCACAAAGCGATGCCAAGTCTCCGGATCGAGCCCACTTGCAATTGGCTCGGGCGCCCGAATTTCGGTATCTTTTTCACTTCGTCGCTGCCTTCGAACTACGATGATTCGAAGGGCTGGGAAGGCTACTGCGACACCATTGATCTGCCAGCGTGTTTGCGGAAGCAATTGTACAAGTCGTTCGCGCTGGAGAAACAACAATGAGAGGCCTTTGCCAAATTTCCCTACTTGCGGAACATCCGGTGCAGTGGGAGCCCCGACTGGTCTCAAGTTCAAGTCTGGCCACCTTGGAACCCGACATTCCCCCCCGCCTTTCCAGACTTAGTCGTTCGCATGTCTTGGCAATCAGCTCGTCGAAACCCGACTCGTCTGCCTTAGCTGTGCTTTCTTTCTTGAATCTTCATGGAAACCTTGCCGCATGGAACTACGCGCGAAGGATGACGCGGTGCTCATGCAGTCCAGTGGAGAGCCAAGCTGCGCTTGAAACATGCAGCTCTCGTGCTGTGCTGAAACTGTCGCAGACCTCGGCCATCCAGGCATCGCACGTCAGTTCTTCTGTGGCCAACACGAACGACGCATGAAGTCGAATTAAGAGCATGCCCGATTTACTGCAAAAGATATCTCCGCCTGGATACAACAGCAACGGCATCGTATCCTCATCGCAACAAGCATCATCGAAAACACGCGCTTTGAAGGCGAATAGATGAGCTGAAAGCAAGCTGATGAAAGGTGACATGCCGTTGCAAGGGATCGAAGTAGCTTCGGCGCCTGCTCAACAATGGCAGGGCTGGCCCGGGGCAATAGTGGTAGTCGGCGGACAGAAGCAAGACACAAGGGAGAAAAAAAAGATGCACAAATCATGGCGATTTGTCGCTGCTCCCACGAGCTCTTTGAGATTCGCCGCTCGACAATGCATTATGGGCACAGCTCTGCAGCTCTGCTTGACCCACTTGTGGGCGACAAATTGCTCTTGCGGTCCTTCCGTGACCTGCCCTGACCGGTGCAGTGATGTTTTTCGAAGTTACGCGATGCTGGCGTACCACCCTCTTTGCAAACATCGGGTGCTTCGGAAAGCACCGGACTGCATGCTCTTGGCATTCTGCCGTCCAATTTCTCTCTGCGCTTCTCCACCCACGAGTGTACTGAAACTGTGCCACATATCGTTTGGAAAAATGCTCGGCGGGTGACAAAATGAGGACAGGCTACGTTGCCGGCATGGATACGCTCGCAGGACAGCTGCTGAGAAAGACATGTCAGTTGCGAGATGCAAACAGGATTGAGGAAAAAGCGATAGAACAGTGGAATGACACCAGAAGAGAAGGATTTGCTAGCCGAGCTTGGTGAAAACAGAGAGAGAACCAGGTTTCTAACAGGAGCGCACAAGTAAGTACTTGTGATTCGGGTTTTGGCAGAGAAGATAAGATGCGATGGCGTTGCCCTTTCTACAGTATCCGGTAAACTTTCACGCAGACCGCACACAAAAGAATAAAGGCAATGCATATGCACGAAAGCGCAAACATCCGTAAGAATGAGCCAAGTGACAGCCAGCGCGACTGTGCCCACATCTAATCCCCAGTCAGCCGCTCTGTGCTCCACTCGATGTCGCAGTTTCCATGCTAAGGCTCGGCGCACCTGAAACACATCGCACCACGTCTCGGATTGCCACTCCAAGCACGCAACCGAAGCGACATCAACACACAACCGGCTTTGCAGGCCAAGGGTCAAAATCGTGAAGCGCTGCTGGTGGCCTCTGGCGGACAGAAGAATAAAAGTATCATTCCCAGGCCTGCTGAAGTTGCGGATCAGGTGCTCGCCAAGATCTGAAAAAATGGACGAATTTTTTCCACGCCACGACCTCATCGTCAGCGACGGAAGCGAAACCGAGTTGACTTTCTGCCTCCAACTAGCTGACTGTGATACACTGCTGGGAAACCGAAAGAGCAAGTGTGGCGCGAGACTCAGGCAGTCCTGATGGCTAAGTTGCTGTGGTGTAGAGCAACCTTTGGCCCTTCGGTTTCGCTACACCAGGGGCGAGCGGCTTGTCAAACAGAATCTCCAGCAAGCCTGAGTAAAAGATGCACATGTCGGGAAGTGAATGGCACAGACAAGACTGCAACAGTATTTGCAGCCCCACGGCCGCGCTCGCCATGCCCCTTCGTACTGAAATCGGGCATCGTTTTGAACTCCTCCATTGTCAGACGAACTTCGGCACGAAGTTGCTCCTTCAGCGTGTTGGTCGTGTGTTGCAGGCCAGGGTACATGCACATGCCGCTCTCAATCAAGCGGTAGAGCCCTAAAAAGAATGTAGGCGAGGGGCTTGACGCGGATCCTGGGATGCTTTGTGGACACCTTGCAACCACGACTATAAAACCACATAACATGTGGCCGGGCGCTTTGTACAAGGCAGTAAGTCCAGACGGACCTAGTAAGAGCGACACAAAGCTTCGCGAGAATCGGCCGTTTGGCTTCAGCACTGCATGAGCCCCAATCGTGAGTGCCTGTCAACAGATAAGAGGGCTGCTTCTGATGCCCTCTTCCGGCCACGAAAGAGCCTGAGATGAAGCTTTCCATATGATCAATCCCGTGCTCAAAGATGTTCAGCTCCACTTCATCAAGAATGCCGGAGTCCTGAAAGAGCCGACTTTGATCAACAGAACATCCTCAAGCATAACACACCTCAAGTCTCTTTTGAATCGGTGGGCAATGCATTCAGAGGGAACAACCCTGCTACTCACTTAAGCGGGAACTTCAGCGAAGTTGTGCAGTTTTTTCTCCCGATCGTACATGACCTGCACAGGTTCAGTAGCATCCGCAAGAACTGCTTCCAAGATCCACCTTCTGACAGCAAACGGTAGCCATGCGTCGAATAGCACGATTACATCGCTCCGGCCACGTAGCAAACAAAATGTCAAAATGCACAGACAAAAGCGACAGCAAAATGCTCCGACACTCTGACAGACGTGGATGAATGCATCCCATGTCCCTTGCGAACACTGCAGCCACTCCTGCAGGTCCGTCCACACGAGACCATGCCGATGCTCTTCGGCCAATGCGTCAAAGGCTTCCCGGGCTTGTATCTTCAATTTGTCCCGCTTCTTCTTGTCGCGCTGGAAGTCGTTGAAGTAAAGTCCGGCCCAGGCCGCAATAGGCACGACCAGATAGACCATGAACGCGGCAAAGAGAAAAAGGCCAATGATTGCAAGGATGGGACTGGTGACAAAGTAAATACCCGGGGCAGCCATCGTCCTGAAAAGTAGTACAAAGAAATGGTCAGCTTGATTACGCCACTGGGCCATCGTGTCTCCAGCCCGAGCATGATCTAACTCCAAGCGGCGCTGCCCGACTGCCCGGTAGCAGTTCCCCAGCGCGACACTTCGACGCAAACTGCACCGTGGCCAACCTCGGCCTCAGAGAATGTTCCATGTAAGCTGTTCAAGCTGGCATTGGACCGCTGGAGCAGAAGTTGCTCTGGGCAAGCACAAATTCAAAACCGTGTGGAACTGCGGGGCTTACTGGCAAGGCTTGGCACCTCCGACGCGATTCGCAGTGCTTGAAACCAGAACAAGGTCGACACAGTGGGTTGTCGGACATCTCCGGCTTCGAAAAGCCTATGCAATCTCTATATCGGAATTCCCCATGCGCAGGTCAACACGACTCCACCCGACCCCGTATGCAGAGAAGCTAAAGGCTACGTGAGGACGGTCCAACATGAGGAACTACGACCTGACCCGACGTGGGCCTGTTCTCATCTCGGTTGTCACGACCAGGAACACCACAAGTGCACGCAGTGTGCTCTTGCCCGCTTTCTCTTGGGCTCGGGGGAGGATCGCCAGCCCCTGCACTGGTGGACCCACGTGTTGTGGGGCGGATCTGCCGACTGATAACGACTGGAAATTGCCAATGACCTATGAATCAAGTTGCTTCCCCTTGCAAATCCGAAATCGAGGACTCTCCTTTTGTCTTGCTCTCCTTTGGCATGTTCGGCTTAGATGTACTTGGAGATATCCTCTTGGTGGGCATGGGTCAGTTCCGTAATCAAAGGCGGAAGAAGGAGCAGATCGCCGCAGAGAACTATGAGGATTTCAAGAGTAGCCTTAACAAAACATATGGTTAGGTGGACTCTGAGACATTCCCCGAACAAGGATTCACAGCTCGAGGCGGACAGAGGTCTAGGACACTAGGAGAATTGTCCTGATTCTCTTTCTTTCGCAAGTCTTACGGGGTGACCGATTCCTACACAAGCATGCCTCTGTCTGCACGGACCTAGAGCATGGCCTCGCCGTCCTTGACCCAATGGCTCGTGTCTGGCCGACTCAACATGGACCTCGAGTCGTACTCTCCCTCCCCGTCAGGGTTGCTCGGATCTGCAAAAAACACCCGGCGAGGAAACAACCCAGCGATGGCTCTGGGGTTTCCGGCGAACAAGTTGTACTAGACTGACGTTTGAAACGGTGACACTCGGCCCCCTTTGAGAGCTGCGTCTGTAGGGTAGCTGAGCCAAAATTTGAAGGGCCACCTTTACGTGCGAGCACCCCGTTTCAGCGAACTGAAACACCTGCACGGGCCCAACACGCATCACAGACTAAATCATTTGCTGTCATAGTCCCCCCCCTATAGCCAAGTGGTATGGCTGATCTCTGTTGAAACGTGCTGTATCCCCCCAGCACCAATCTAACGCCGGAACAAAACCCAAGCCCGCAACACTGCCTCCGGACCTGTCTTGCCTTTTCCCGAACCTGGGGCATTAGTGATCATTGGTGCTTCAGAGTGCTCAGCGTCGTCGGTGCTTCTTGTGCTTTCGGCTTTTCGAAACCTGTTCACGGCCGCATCGGCCGCCTTCTCCTGCGCTCGGGCCACTCAGGAACTTGCTGTCGTAGCGCTGAAGTGCCCGTTCGGGGAGCTTGGGGCCCATGGGCAGGCCGGTCTCTCTTGCTTGCTTGCTCAAGCTCCAAGGCACGGGTATGCCCCGCACCTCCGCGCCTTTGGAGGGGACCCAAACATGCGTCCGGCGCTACAGTCGGCGTGAAACTGACGACCCCACACCTCAACGCCTACCCCCGCCGCGACACCAAAACAAGACCGAACACCACACTGCCTTCACTTACCTAACTCACCTTCGATTCCCGCCCTGAAACCTCTGCAGCACTGCGGGGCCAGCACGAGACAAGACTGAGACAAGCAAAGCTTCCCACGGCTGCGACATTTCATTGTGCTGGAGCCCCTGCAGGCCTTGCGCTAAGTCCGCACTCTGAGGCTACCACACTTGCTTCCAGCACCAAGTTACACATCACCAGGTGGTCAGCCCACGTTTTGGCGGGCATGCATGCAGCCTCTCTCTCTCTGATGTATCTTTCTCAGTCCCTCCTCGTTCTCATTGTTGTCCACCCTCTCCTTCTCTCCCCTTTAGTCGAGATCGGACACGTGCTTTTTCGGGCAGCTCCAGTACACAAATCAAGGTGGCCACTCGGGTCCCGACACAAGGCTCATGATTGCGAAAAGGTCGGACATGGCCGAAGAGACCTCTTCCGGCCACGGAAAAGTAGCTGCCTGCCCGAGCTGCTCAGACAGCGCAACGATGAATTGACACTGGTGGCATCACGGGTGCTACATCAGGTAATTGGGGAGATATCTCAATGGTTGGAGTTGTTTTGGTTTTGGCTTTTTGTTGATGGTGGGATCCATGCCGTAAAGTGCAAAGTCGCCAGCATGCGCCAGCTGTCAAAGGGAGTTGGCCTCGTGATGCTTGTACCTCCAGATCGTCATCGCATCGGAAAGAACGCTGGCACGGGGATGAGGCTTGGAGACCCAGCTTGCGCGAGAATGAGAATATATCGAAAAAGCTGACTGCGACTTCTTGGTTCTGGAGCATGCCGCAAATTCTTTGGTGCGTGCTCTGTGGATGTGTTTTTGTCCTGCACGTAGCGCCAGCGTGAACTGCATGATTGTCTTTGCCTTTGTGGGGCCAGCTTCCGGACACGGTTCGCACGGGAACAGAACCCACCACGCAAACCACGAGAGGAACTATCCGTGTGACCGCCAGTGCCAGTGCTTCTGCACAGGGGGAAAGCCGCACCCGCATGAGGAAAAGGTTGGTACCGCCAGCTCCAGTGCAGTAATAACTTCACGTGACTCAATAGTCGCATTAAGGATGACAATACAACAAAAAAGTAGCAGCAAGCTTGAACAACAAGAAAGCAACGATCATGCTGGCAACCATCATGATGATCTCCGACATGCCAATAATGCGTATGCACGTTGTTGCAGCTGCAGCTCCTGCTAAGAGTAAAGATGCTGATAACACTGAATGATAAGAGTAAAAGTGATGTTAACACTGAATACCTCAAGCTCCCAACATGATCCCTCACCGTCATCACGACCATCATCATCACACCCGAGCTCTTCATTGGAACCATCATCATCAACTACACGACAACCAGCAACATCATCATCATCATCACCATCACCATCACCATCAGCATCATCATCATCGTAACCAACGACAATTTTTTTTGCAATTGGACGCTCGTGTGAAACCACTAACTTTAACGTTCAAGACTGCATGACAAGACCAGAGAAATAACAGCATCCAGACCTACAGTCGGGCGTTACAGAGCCGCTCACTACTGTACAACCTGCGAGCTATGCTGAACTACGGCAACTCAGGAGGTACCTGCTGCGGGCTTGGTTCTGATTGACAGGCGTTGGCACAACTGGGCAATAGCACAATGCATATTGCTTTTTGGCACAGCAACTCAAGGCTGTCGTCCTCTGTTGAGGAAGAAAGTAGCACTTGGGGACAGAAAAGGTTGGCCGAGCCACCGGAAATTACAGAAGTCCGGCCCGAGGCCCCGCAGTCTTGGCCAGAGGCCCCGAGATTACCTTTTCCAGCGCCAGGAACTTGACGAGGAAGACCAATCCGCGGAGCGCCACCACGAGTTGTCGTCCCAATGCTGGCGAGAGTCGGCAGTCTCGTCCTTCTGTCTCTTTTCTGAGACAGGGCCTTGGTCCTCTGACTGACGTTTGTCGGGACGCAGCAGCTTTTGTTTGGCAGGCGTGTCGCCCACTCTGCGATCAATGCGCATCTTGCGGACTTGTTCACCGTCTTTCGGCATGTAGATAATGAGCCTATTGATAAGCCCGCACGACCTGCAAGTTTGGTCGTAGATTGCCTTGATGGTGGAGGCCACAATCTCAAAATTGTCATCTGCTTCAAGAGTTTCATGCATCTCAGCTTGGTCCCAGAGCTTCTTGAACAAGGCGCTGATGATGCCGAAGAACCCGGTGATCTTGGGCAGGACACGATAAGCGTCACCCTCACCAAGAGCAATGGTGAGGAGTCCATCAGTTCCCGTGACAGGGCGGGCAGTCATTGCTTCCGCCCAGGTTGTGTTCACATCCGTCTTCAACGGGGCTTCTTGAGGATGCGAATCCTGTCCTGCCAGACCTTGAGCTGTTCCGACACCTTTAGGCCACCTATCACGGCTTTTTCGTTGATGACGAGGATCGTGGCAAGCGCGTGGATCCAGGTGAACATCTCGTCGGACTGGCAAATCTGTATAATTTTATCGCGCTTCGGCAATGCATTCTCCTGGTCTTCTAACGAGGGACCTGGTTCCGGATCAACCATCGCGTGAATTGTGACTGGACCCTGGTACTTGACGCCTGCCATGGTGTCAACTTCGACCGAATCTGTCCAAGGTGGCGGGCCCTCGCTGTCATCGGCTTCGGAGCCGGAATCCTCCGAGATGGCGGACCATGGCTTCTGCGCACCCTTGCCCTCCTCAAAAGCATTGAATCTCCTCTGGTTGGGAGGGGGGCCTGTGGGTGAGGCCGGGGAGGAAGGAGAGGAGGGCGAGCGAGTGTGGGGTGGTTCCTGGAGCTGAGGGGGTGGGGCCTTGGATTTGGGAAGAGGTGGGACTGATGGTGCCGAGGAGGATGCTTCAGTGGATGTGGTAGCCCGAGGCTCCGCGGTGTTAGAAGTGGCAGCCGAGGCTCCGCAGGGGGTGTGTAGCCAGGTGGGAGCGGGGGCATGCCCAGTCCGAAACGCGCCTTGGCAATGCTGGAGGCCGGGAGGAGGCGCGTCCTGCATTGGGGTGGGAGGGGCCGGAGCTCCTTCTGTGGCAGCCTCTGCAGTGCCGGGGGGAGGGGGAGCCGGTGCCGGGTTGTGACTCCTCCTCGCGCGAAATGATTGAGCACACCTTGATCATTGGGGAGTTCCAGCAGCTTGCCGTTCCGGCGACCGGCATCGTTGGGTGCAAAATCATTCCCCGTCGGATGCAGCGCATGACGTCTTCAGAGGAGATGCCGCCGTAGTGTTTTTCCTGCTTGACGGCTTCCATGATTTCCTCGAAGCTGTTGTTGGTGATGCTGGCTTGGACGTCATCGCTAATAAGTTCGCCACCGGGCAGAGCCCCCTCCTGATCTGGGCCGTATACACGCCGAGCGTCCAATGCTTCTGCCACCGCTTGCGGGAGGCTAACCAACGACAACAACAACAACAACAACAACAAAACCCAACAACAACAACAACAACAACAACAACAACACCCAACAACAACAACAACAACAACAACAACAACAACAACAACAACAATTTTTTTGGCAATTGGACGCAGTGCGAGCGGGCTCGGCACTTGGCGGGCAGTTGCTGCACTGGCACTCTCTGGGCAGTGAAACCTCGATGCATCAAGACTGCATGACAAGACGAAAGAAACAACAGCTTCCAGACCTACAGCCGGGCATAGTAGGGCCGCTCACTACTATACAACCGGCGAGCTAAGCTGATCTACTGCAACTCAGGAGGTACCTTCTACAGGCGCAGTTAGTGACGGATGGGCAGTCACGTGACGTTCGAGCAGACAAGCTCAGGCGCAGCAGGCTTTTGACACGGGCGATGCCAGGCTGGTGTCGTCCACTAGGAAGAAAGTTGGCACAGAGTGGCTAAAAGGATGGCCGAGCCACCGGTGCGAATCTATCTTGACTTGGCCCGAGGCCCCGCGTTCCCGGCCAGAGGCCCCGAGACTACCTATTCACCAGCGCCAGGAACTCGACGAGGAGGTCCAATCTGAAGATTGCCACCACGAGCGATCGTCCCACTGCGGGCGGGAACTAGCAGCCTCGTCCTTTTGTCTTTTATCAGAGACCGGGCCATGGTCCTCAGAATGCCTTTTGTCAGGGCGCAGCAGCTTTTGCTTGGCTGGGGTGTCGCCTACCCTGTGATCAATACGCATCTTGCGGACCGTTTCCCCCTCACCCGGCATGTATAAGTCCACACGACCTGCATGTTTGGTCGTAAATGGCTTTAATTGTGGACGCCACAATCTCAAAATTGTCATCGGTTTCGAGGGTTTCGTGCATCTCGGCCTGGTCCCAGAGTCGCTTGAATAGAGCGCTGATGATGCCGAAAAAACCAGTGATCTTGGGCAGGACGCGGTAGTTGGTGCCCTCTCCCAGAGCGATAGTCAGCAGACCATCTATGCCCATAACCGGGCGGGCAGTCATTGCTTCTGCCCAGGTTGTGCCCTGATCTGTCTTCACCAGGTTCAGCGGGGCAAATATCCAGGGGGGCGTCTTGAGGATGCGAATTCTGTCTTGCCAAACTCTCAGCTGCTCCGACACTTTGGGGCCGCCAATGACGGCCTTTTCGTTGATGACGAGGATCGTGGCGAGCGCGTGGATCCAGGTGAACATCTCATCGGACTGGCAGACCTGGATGATTTTGTCACGCTTGGGCAATGCATTCTCCTGGTCCTCCCAAGGAGGGACCCGGTTCCGGATCCATCATTTCACGAATGGTAACTGGGCCCTGATATTTGACGCCGGACATGGTGTCGACCTCGATCGGATCACCCCAAGGAGGCGGGGCGCCGCTGTTGTCCGTGACGGAGCTGTCAGTGTCAGGGCTGGCTGAGCGCGACCTCCGTGATCCCTTGCTGTCCTCAAAGGCATTGAATCTCGTCTGGTTGGGAGGAGGGCCAACCGGCGAGGCCGGGGAGGAAGGGGAGGAGGGTGACGCCGTGCGAGAAGGCTCATGAATTTGCGGGGGCGGGGCCTTGGCCTTGGGTGGTGGGGGCGGAGGGACGGGAGTTGTGGATGCTGTAGCCCGGCACTCCGTGTGTGGCAGCCCGAGGCTCCGAAGGGGGTGTGAGTGGGGGCAGCCTAGACCGAAGCGTGTTTGGCAATCCTGTTCGGGAGTGGGGGGGGCTGGGCTTTATCGGTGGCAGCCTCTGCGGAACCAGGGGGAGGGGGGGAGGTGCAGGGTCGTATATTCCTCCTCTCGCAAAATGAGTGAGTACACCATGATCGTTGGGGAACTCCAGCAGTTTGCCATTGCGACGACAATGGCGGCAGGATAGCCATCCAGGTTTGCTCGGATGTAGGATCATACCTCGAGGAATGCAGCGCATAACATCTTCAGAAGAAATACCACCATAGTGTTTTTCCTGCTTGACGGCCTCCATGATTTCCTCAAAGGTGTTGTTGGTGATGCTTGCCTGGACGTCGTCGCAAATGAGTTCACCCCCACCTCCTGATCTTGACCATAAACACGCCGAGCGTCCAGAGCCTCTGCCACTGCCTGTGGAAGGCCCTGCAACATCGTGGTCGCTTTGCGCTCGCTGGCACGCGGGTCGCCTTTGAAGCCCTTTGGCCAGTCCCAGCAACGCGTGTAGGCCACGGTGATTTTCTGCTGGGTGACAAAGTAGTGGCC